GGAGTGCTGGGATTAAAGGCGTGCGCCACCACCGCCCGGCTTTGTCTCGTTTTTTTGTAGACAGGTCTCACTGTGTAGCCCTGGCTGTCCTAGAACTCACTCTGTAGACCAGGCTGGTCTCAGACTCACAGAGATCTGCCTCCTGAGTGCTGGGAGTAAAGGCGTGCGCCACCACCGCCCGGCTTGAGGGACTTCTGCAGTCCGCCTTGCTGTTAGTTGGGAAGAGTCTCTGCACAGTGTTCTTTGTTATTGCTCTGTGGCAGGTCCCCTTCAGCCTTACTAACTCCCTTCCTTCCTGCCAGGCCAAGCCCTTGGGGAAACTTCCTCAGGCCAAAGCCAACCCCCCTCCCACTAAGGCGTCTCCAGCCAAAGGGCCAGCGTCTGCATCAGGAAAAGTGAGCACTGTAGTTGCTCCGGCAAAGCAGGAGACCCTATCCAAGGCAAGTTGGGACCCCAAGCCACGAAACAAGTTGGGCTAAGTCTAAAAGGGGGTCCAGCTGTGACCTAGCATTGATCACACTCTGCCCAAGTAGGGTACCCATAGCCACACACTGTAGAAGCTTGACCAGGAAGGACCTGCCTGTCCCCTTCCTCCTCCGATACCATTGCCACCTCTCGATTCAGGGAAAAGCACCCGGGAGTGCCGGTCAGAACAGTGCTCTCTCTGCAAGGGGCCAGCGGTCTGTTGCAGCCACAACAAAAGCGGGGTCCCCAGCGACGACCCAAGCACAGAAGGGGCCGGTGGCTGGAGCGGGGAAGGCCTCGGAGAGCAGCAGTGAAGAGTCTGACAGCGAGGAAGAGGCCCCGGCCCAGGTACCCAGGCGGAGCTGGGGTTACGGCAGCATTTTCGGCCCGGGTCTGTAGGCACAGCTTTGTATGCCTCAGCATCTCCCCGGGCTCTCCAGCTCTTTCCCCTAACTGCTTCTCCAGGTAAAACCTGTGGGGAAAACCTCTCAGGTCAGAGCCGCCTCGGCCCCTGCCAAGGCGTCCCCTGGAAAAGGAGCCCATCCGGGAGCCACCAAGAAGACAGGACCTACAGCTGCCCAGGCCCAGAAAAGGAAGATGGAGGACTCAGAGAGCAGCAGCGAGGAATCCGACAGTGACGGTGAGATGCCATCAGCCGTCACCCCAGCCCAGGTGAGGTCTGCCAGGCCTGAGGGTCACGGCCACCAACTCCTTAGCCGTAAACTGACCTTGGCCTGGTGGTAGGGAAGAGCGGGTAGAAGTTCTGACTCCAGGATCCCTTACCCCAGGTGTGCCCCATGTTCCTGGATGAAATGTGCTGTAAGTCTCAAACCAAGGCCACTCTAGTAGAGGACATGCTAGGTTACACCTGTAACATGCAGGGCCTCCACATCACTGGGCACAGCAGTCCCATGCCAGCTGAGGAACGTTCTGCCAAGGTCTATGATTGAGGCCAGCGTGCAAAGATACCCCTATGGGAGAGCTACGAGGCAGCTTGGGCTCTGTTGCCAGTCTCTGTCCAAGGAGGGCCGGTCTGGCTCAGTGAAGCCTGGGCCCAGGGAATGGGGAAGAACGAGAAGCCGCCTCTTACCCAGACCGTTGTCCAGGCTCGTCCTGGTTACAGAGGGCGGTGAGGCTGGCTCTGTTCAGCTGACGGTCTAGTTTGAGCTCGGGCATTGTTTTTTTTTTTTTTTTGGTTTTTCGAGACAGGGTTTCTCTGTGTAGCTTTGCGCCTTTCCTGGAGCTCACTTGGTAGCCCAGGCTGGCCTCGATCTCACAGAGATCCGCCTGGCTCTGCCTCCCGAGTGCTGGGATTAAAGGCGTGCGCCACCACCGCCCGGCTGAGCTCGGGCATTGTTGATGCAGCCTGGTAGACCTGATAGGCGATGGCATCTGATGTGGCACCTTAGGAAGGTGGCAGCGGAGATCATCAGAAGAAATGGTCCCTGTCAGTGTCCGCCAGTCATGACCTTATATGGAAAGTAGGAAGTGTCCCGTACAAGTTGAGATAGTCTAGCTTCTCTTGAGAAACTGGCGGCCTAGGTGGTATTTGCTGAGTGAGTACAGTAGCATCCGTGCTGGGAGAATAGAGCCCCTCTTGGGTCTCCCCTGAGTTGGCATCACCACCAGCTCCTCCTCACTGATTGACAGTTCTATGGCTTTGGACCACATGGTCCATGAAGCCTGCTCTCTCTTTTTTTTTTTTGGGGGGGGGCTGTTTTGAGATAGGGTTTAATCCCAACACTCTGGAGGCAGAGGCAGGCGGATCTCTCTGAGTTCGAGGCCAGCCTGGTTTACGGAGCAAGTTCTAGGACAGCCAGGACTACACAGAAACCCTGTCTCAAAAAACAAAAAAGAGGCCACACTGTCCTTGGAGACTCAGCACAGAGGTGCCGTGTGTCCTCCTCAGCTGGCCACCCTTCCCTGTCACATGCTTATCCAAGTCTTGTCCCCTCCAAAGGATGGTCCCTCCCAACCTGCCAAAAGCAAAGCCTCAGCGCCAGCACCCCCAGAGAAGAACGGAGAAGAGTCCTCAGAGAGCAGTGATGAGGAACTGCCATCCGCCCAGGTAGGTCGCGACTCCTAAAGACTCCACTGGCCGAGCCGGGCTGTCACTCTCTGGGAAGAGGGTCCGTCTTTCCCTCGGGGCAGGTCTCACCACATGCAGGCAGCACTTTCCAGCCTCTGGGCTCTTGTCTGTCCTCCGATACACCCCTCTGATGGGGACAGCCCACAGGGCATGGCAAGGACACGCACGGGCTTCACGCCCCCAGCCCCGCCTGCTGGGTCTGGATCCTCTTATGATTCGGGTGCTTGGTGAAAATGGAGCTGGTATGGCCACTGTGTACCGACACAGGTGGCCCGGGTCCTTGGCCGAGTCCCCTGCCTGAGGAGGGATGCCTGATCACTGTTAGGAAGGCAGTCATCTCAGCTGCCTGTTTGACAGGCCAGGGATTAGAACTCTTTATCTTTTCATAAAGAGGCTCGAGAAACCAGCTCTGCTCCCCGAGCCCCTTCGGCCCGTGTTCTGTCGGGGACCTAGAGCCTTCCCTGCAAGCCTAGGTGTAATCTGTGGGCCTCACCCCAGAACAATCCCGGGCAACCTACTGCACCTCATTTTCTGCTGTGGCCGGTTCCCGCCTGACCTTGTCCCCAAGTGTGAGGCCCAGGACACCTCCTCTGGCTTCAGAGGCCCAGTATAGCCAGCAAGATGGCACGCGCTGCGTGCTCTTTGAAGGAGAGGGACTGTAGCTCAGAAAGAGCTCTGGGGATGCTGTTTAAGTCCTGGTGGTCTGCGCTTCCTCCTGCCCGGCCGTCCCTACAGTCCGCTTTCACACTCCCAACCCTCAGCGGTCCCAGTCCTAAGCGGGTTGGCTTTGTCACACTCCATTTGTGTCCCAACACCCACTGGTCTCAGGCCCGTCATCTCATCCCTCAGGATTTTAGTATGCTGCTGTGCAGTCTTTCTGAGGCACCTCCCTCACTCCTAAGGGACACCACCCAGCTCGGCGGGAAGGCCGCCTTGATTTTCACTGTACGAGTGGAGTAGCATAATTAAAGTGGCATTATGCTGAAACTGAACTGTTAAATCGGGGCATTAGTCTTGAAGATCTGCAGTCTGTATTTTGAAAAAACAAAGCCTGTAGTTTCCAGGTTCCCAGAAGGATTCAGGGAAATGGGCACAGCCTGGGAAGCTGTCATTTTGCCCCTCTGGGAGAGTCCTACCTTACATGTGGTTGCTGTCATTATTGGGCATTTATGGAACACTTCTCTATTGATAACTAGAACTGCTCCCACCTCACCCTCCCAAAGTGGTGTGTTTGTGTGTGTGTGTGTGTGTGTGTGTGTGTGTTTGGTTTTTGGTTTTTCGAGACAGGGTTTCTCTGTGTAGCTTTGCGCCTTTCCTGGAACTCACTTGGTAGCCCAGGCTGGCCTCAAACTCACAGAGATCCACCTGGCTCTGCCTCCCGAGAGCTGGGACTAAAGGCGTGCGCCACCACCGCCCAGCATGTGTCTGTTTTTAATTAGCCTGTCAGTGGGGAAAAGGGCCGGGTACCAGGGCAGTTGCCCAGCTCCAGATCAGTGCTGACCCCAGGTCCCTTCCTGCAGTTCACCCCTGTTGTGTGGTGTGTAAACCCCGAGACTGACTAGAACCTGGGGTGGGTACCAAATTAGAAAGGACGTGAACATGTGAGGTGATGCCGACATTAAGTAGCGTGGATGATCCATTCCGTGTTGTAGCCTTGTGTCACAACACGTCATACACCATAGTTTTTACCGCCCACTTAAATTAGTTTTAAATGTAGGAGTGATTGCCACGTTTGTGCCTGGTGCCTGTGGAGACCAGAAGAGGGCGTCAGATCCCCTGGAACTGGAGTTATAGATGGTTGTGAACTGCCATTTGAGGGCTAGGAATCAAACTGAAGTTCTCTAACCTCTGAGCCATCTCTCCAGATCTCTGAAATTATTTTAAAGGCTACTTCGTCTGTCATTTTGCCAAAACAAAGACATAGGCCCTGTCCTGACTCAGAACAGGGAACTTGTAAAAATCTAAATTGTGTTATTTAATTAGGCTTGTGTGATTAGGTGTAGAAGGAACTCCTGCCCGGTCCCTGGACAGCTGTCTTCCAATCCTGGATCTGAAACCAGTTTGCTGGCCTTCCTGGCTGAAGTGCTTGCCATCTCTGATCATCAACCTCAGCTTCTGGGATGAGATTGGGGGTTATAAACCTCAAGTCTCCTAGCTGCAGCCCCAAAAGTGTCATTTCCAAGTCCCTCCGTAGGGTGTTTTTGTTTTGTTTTGTTTCTATTTTTCTTTCTTTGGTTCTGGGGACCTCATAAGTGCTGAGGACACACCCTGCTGCTGAACTGTCCCTCCAGCCCCATCCCCCCCACTTTGCCCCAGATTTACTGGAATAAGGGCACAGTAGGTACGAGCCCAGCTGAGACAGCAGGCAGTGGGCATTGCCCAAAGCACCCCTTGTTTGCTTCTGTGGGCATCATTCCTGCAAATGGGAAGGGCATCCCCAGCACCTACAAGGGAGCAGTGAGATGCCCTGGTGAAGGTGGCGTCCTCTTTCACTGTTTCCCTCTGTCCAGTTCAGTTCTTTGATCAAAGCACAGTCCACATGTGCTGGGCTTGTGCGTTCCTCGAGGTGGGCACGCCCAGGTGGGGGCTGGTCTCAGCCCTTCAGCAGATGGGCACCTGGATGACAGAGTGGGGGACAGATGCTGCAGACCCAAACACCGGCCCCTGTGCTTAGCCTGCCCTCGGCAACCAGGCCACGCCCACCCCCCTCTCCTGCCCTCCCTGCACTGGGATGGGGTGGTGTGGGCAGGTGGAGCTGGAGGAGGCTGTGCCGCGGAGCTGCTTTTAACTTCCCAAGACGCTATTGTTCGCCTCAGTGGGTTTGCTGCCTCCCTTGGTCCCCAACAATCTGTTCTCCTGTCTTCTCGCATATATATAGATCCCCCTCCCTCACCACAAGCCTTCTCCCACTTTCCATCCTTCTCCTTTTCATCACGTGGGAAGGAAGGCTCTGGAAGTGGCAGATCAGAGCGGCCGCGGGGGAGGCTGTTTGGCAGGGTAGGAAGGGCCCGAGTGCAGCAGCGTTGCGGCTCTTGGTGGGTACCACAGCGCTAAGCTGGTCGCGGTCTCTCCGTCTCGCGGCCCCTGGAGTGGGGGGAGCCCGGTGAAGCGCAGCAGGTGGGCAGGGTGTGGTAGTGGACCTGACTGTCCCTCTGTGGGCCTCAGGCCGCCCTCCACTGGCCAAAGCACAAACAGCCTTGACCCAGCCCTGACATCTGGAGAGAGTAGAAAGTAGAATTCCAGGTCCCTGGCTCCTCACCCCTGTGCCTTCATCAGCCGGGGCTTTGGAAGGAAATAGACCGAGAGTCCCCCGGTGTGTGGTGACACATTTGGGAGTCTGTAGTTCACTGCCAACGTGGCCTTCCCGGTACTAGGATGTGCTGCTGCTTTACCACCTCGGTGAACTGCAGAGCAGACCCAGAGGTGAAAGGGTGAATCAGGACTGCAAGAACATGTCTATAATCCCAGCATTTAGGAGACGAGGCGAGAGGGTCGGGAGGCCAACCTGGTGGGACCAACCCACAGTGAGACCCTGTCTCGGGGTTTAAAAAAACAAAGTGAAGTAAAATGATGACCTTCCACACTCTCCTAACCCCCAGCAGCCCCAGTCCTGAGCAGGCTGGCTGTGTTCACACCCTACTTGCTTTCCAACGCCCACTGGTCTCAGGCCGTCATCTCATCCATCAGGATTTCAGTGTGCAGCTCAGAAGGATAAGGGTTTCCTTTTCCTTTTCAGCCCAGCCACAAGACAGTGTGACAGCTAGAAAGTTGACCAGCAGGCAGGGTGTCTGTTTTCTCCAGCGTAGCTGATAAGTGACATTTTTTTATACTTGTCCTATTTTAGGATCCAAATAAGGTTAGTGTGATGGTGCAGAGACAGGTAGATCTCTTCATTCAGGGCCAGACTGGTCCACATAGCAGAACCTGTCTCAGATAAGGGCCACACACACTACATTATGTTCTTGAACCCTTTCTTGCTCTGTTGGTTTTTTTCACTACCCACTGACCCTGTTACCCAGGGCCGTTTGTGTACTAAAGAAACGATCAGTATAGCTGGGGCCTGCATGCTGGGCCACACACCCTGTGTCAGGGTCTCCGAGGGAGGGGACAGTGAGACTTCAGGGAAATCATATCTTCTAGCCAGGCTGCTCTAGGAAATGCTTTTTAGAACTTCCCACTTAGCAGGTGGCTGGACATCTGATATCATCAGAAGAAAGATGTTAAATTAGACATTCTAGCTCGCGCCTTGCTTCCGATCTGGCTGTGTGGCCCGGGCCCTCCTCTTTTCCTCTCTGGACTTAAGGCTTTCCCATGTGTCCAGGGGCATAGATACTGCTTACCGTGGGGGTCACTGTGGAGGTCAGCTGGGTTCCTGTGAGAGCTTTGAAGTGCTACGCTGGGTGTTGGTATGGGGTGGGAGTGGACTGCAAATGCCCAAGCTCCTTGAACTTCTTGCCTTACTTATAAAACGCTCCCTTGCCACACGCCTTTAATCCCAGCACTCGGGAGGCAGAGCCAGGCGGATCTCTGAGTTCGAGGCTAGCCTGGTCTACAGAGTGAGATCCAGAACAGGCACCAAAACTACACAGAGAAACCCTGTCTCAAAAAAGAAACAAAAAAAAAAAAAAACAACCCTCCCTCACCCATTTCCCATTCCCTTCCCCGGCCAAGCCTTTAATCACTGGGTGTGTGTGTGTTTTGTTTTTGTTTTTCAAGGTGATTAAATCCCCTCTGATTTCTGTCGACCCTAATCGTAGTCCAGCTGGCCCAGCTGCTACCCCTGCACAAGTCCAGGCTGTGAACACCCCAAGGAAGGCCCAGGCCTCAGGCACCACGGCCCAGAGCTCCTCCTCTGAGAGTGAGGATGAAGACATGATTCCTGCCACCCAGCCCACCACTCATGGTGAGTGCGGCTGCATGTGCTGCTCAGTTAGCAGGGGCTGCTGCCCTGCATGCCTTCTTCCCCATTGAGACCAGAAGGGACCAGACAGTAACCAAGTGGCCTAGCAGAGGCATTGGCCAGGAGGATGGTGGGCTCAGCCTTGGACCCTGCAATGTTACCTTGAGGGTAGCTCATTTGCCTTGTTTCGAAGGAATTATATTCAAGGCTTCTGTGTGCCGTCTCCAAGCCCGAAAGAAAGCCTGAGCATTGTGGTGGCTGAAAGCTACAGGGACCAGCAGGCTGGTCTAAGTCTAAGGTAGAGGTCTGCTGTAGCCAGCTAGCTGTGAATGGGCTATCAGCCCGGCTGTGAGCTCCCATCCCCTGTAACATACAAAAAGAAGGTGGGTAACATTTTATACTCGGTCTCGTCCCCAAACCTAAGGTGGACTAGTGTATGTGTGTGTGTGGCAAGGCCCTCTGGAAGGTCAGCCATCTTCAGCTGCATATTAGGACGCCGTGACATTTCTGTCATTGAGTACAGACAGTATGATTTCCTTCTGGCAGCAGAATGATGCTGTGTGTTTGGCTAGTACATAATGGGGGACATACGGCCTTGTTGGGCTGTGATGGGCATGTCTTCCTCAGCACCCAGCAGCTCCCCCGCTGATTCCTAACTGCGAGGAGTCTCTTTCACCATGATCTAGCTTGTTGCTCAAGAGGAAAAAGATGAGGCTAAGGCTTGGGAGTCTGCCCCTGTAGCCATTTGAAGGCGCTGAGCCTTGTCAAATGACATGAAGAGAGCTGCCTGGAAGGCTTGGGGAGGAGAGGAAGCTAGCTTCCGCTTTACGCTCCCTAAGCCCAGCGCCAGGTCCGTGGGAAGGACTGGGAATTGGGGAATGCCTTGCTGGGGAGTCCTGCAGCTTCTGTACCCTGATAACCTGCCCCCTCTTCTCCATTTCAGCCATTAGAACCAACGTGACTGTGCCCACATCCCTCCCACGGACAGCCCCCCAACCCAGCAAGAGTGAGCAGTCTGGTCGGGTGCCGAAAGGCAAGAAACCAAAGGCAGCGTCCACTCAGGTACTGTCGGGTAAGAGAGGGCTGTGGGAGGGTCACTGCCGCCTCGGTGTGTGCTGTTAGGTTGCATGGCAGTCGGCGGCTTGCTCCCAGCACCCTGGCACTGCCATTCAAGCCTTGGCTCCCAAATCCCCATGGTGGTGTTGTCAGGAAGAGCAGGCTAGGTGTCCAAAGGCAAGTGGAGTGAATCCCTCCTCTTCCCAGCTTGGTGGACTCTGAATTCGTCTTCTGTCTCCTAGTTTTGAAATGCTGTAGATAGTCATTGCTCGCCTCGCCTTTCTTAGTAAGTATTCAGAATGGAAGTGACCTTATAGCATTTTTTTTCTCCTAGCCATCACCAGTCTCAGTGTATCGTTAACTAGTAGGACAAGGTTAGTGGACACTGTTTAACCTAAAACTAAGGGCACATCCCACCAGGGTCAGTCCAGGCCAGAACCTGGGTCCTTCCGACTCCCAAGTTCATTGCTCTGTGGGCCTAATGGGGTTTGTTGACTCTCACGTGGAGAGAGAGGAGTCCACTGCACCCCAGCCTCCTGAGGGCAGGAGGGAGCTGTGCTAAAGCATGGGTCAGCCCCTGCTAGAGGGGCTGCTGGGCCACCCCGTTCCTGGTGCATCACATGCTGTAGTGCCAAAAGGTCATCTCAGCAGATGGTGCTGGGCATCTGCCCTGCTGGGCACTGAGGCCGCAGCAGGTACCAGGCCCTCCTGGGGCTCCCGAGCCAGCACAGAGACAGCCATTAAACAAGGAACGCAAGATCAATTAGTTGTCAGCCAGGCAGTGGTGGCGCACGCCTTTAAGCCCAGCCCTCGGAAGGCAGAGGCGGGCAGATTGCTGTGAGTTTGAGGCCAGCCTGGTCTGTTGAAGTGAGTTCTAGGACAGCCAGAGTGGTTAGGCAGAGAGACTGTGGTGTCTTGAAAAACAAACAAACAAAAAGCCAGTAAGCAGGCTGGGGAGACAGCTCTGTGGATAAAGTGTTGCCATGCAAGCGTGAGGGGCTGAGTTCATTCTCCAGTACCCCCAGGGAAAAGCCAGGCATGGTAGCAGGGGTTTGTAATGCCAATACTGGGGCGCCTGAGACGTGTCAATCACTGGGGGCACACTAGCCAGCCAGCCTGGTCTAATTGGTGAGCCCCAGGTCACATGGAGAGACGTGGAGAAGGTGGATGGCTTCCTGCGAACACCACCTGAATTTTACTTGGAGAGTCAACATGAGCATGGGTGTGCTTGAAGTGCGTGCGTGCGTGCGTGCGTGCGTGCGTGCGTGTACACATACGTGTGCATGCCACGTGAGTGCCAGTGAGACCCAGCTAGGACCCAGCCTTCCAATGCTTTGTGTTTGGGGAGCTGTGTAGACCGCGTTAACCCCACTCTCCTCCCACACATGTGGCCAGCGCCTCATTGAGAGCCCAGCCTGGCTGTGTGTCCCACACCAGCCCTTACTCTACCTGCCTGGGCCGCGGTGTCCTGTACGTAGTAAGAAGCTGCAGTGCCCACCAGAGAGCTGTGGGACAAATCATGGGAAGGCTCGTGAGGTGCTTCCCACACAGGGCCTGGCCCTATTACGTCCTTCTCTGTACCTTCTCTTGTACTCTTCCTGTACCAAACTAGATCAGCAGCGCCGTGGAGACGCCCTCTGTGACGCACCCCCAGAGCACACCTGTCCAGGCCAGAGCAGCCAACAAGCTCAGAAAACCCAAACTTGCTGAGAAGCAGCAGCCTCCCCCAAGCTACCCCAGACCCTCCAGGAGCCCGAGTAACAGCAGTGATAGCTCTTCAGAGAGCGAGGCGGATGCCAAGAGACCCCAGATGGCCAAGGCAGCCCCCAGACTGGGTGAGGATTCCAGGAGGGAGGGCAGGGGATGAGACCCAGCCTGGGAGAGCCGTGGGCTCTGGCCTTCTCACCCCACCCCTGGGCCTGTTTATCCACCAGTGGAATAACTCCACCACTTAAAAGACCTGAATCCTGTTTGACTGCTGGCACCTTCTCGGTATCAGGCTCCCATTATTGAATGCCCCAAGTCTCAGGACTTGGCTTCCCTTACAGGGGAAAGCAGAGAAATGGGAGCCTCGGGAACCAGAAAGGAAAACTGGCATTCAAATGTATCAGGCAGGGTGCTTTGGATAACATCAGTGGGTGAAAAATGGGAGGCCTTGTGCAGGAGGAACCTAGACCCAGGCTTTGCGGCCTTCCTGAGGAGCTCTGCCTAGCCTGATCAACGGGGCCACCAGGGACCCACACCCAACAAGAGACCTTTGCTTCTGCACTAGATCCGGACCCTTCCCAGAAGGAGATCGTGGTGGAGGAGACCCCTGATGAATCCAGCGAAGATGAGTTGGTGGCCCCCTCACAGGTAACTAACTGCCAGGGTAAGGGCTAGAGCTTGGAGCTGCGGCTTTCAAGTGTCTAGATCCCATTCCCAGGGCCCTGGTAAGGTCCCGCTTGTGGGATGCCCTAAATCAACAGAATAGAGCCTCACCTGCTGCCCTGGGGTCTAGGGAAGGGATTCAGATGGATTCCAAGACATGCCCAGATAAAGCCACTCTTTAGGTCTCTCTTAAGGCTCTTCTTTGCGGGCTGGAGAGATGGCTCAGTGGTTAAGAGCATTGGCTGTTGTTGCAAAGGACCCGGGTTCAATTCCCAGCACCCACATGGCAGCTCACAACTGTCTGTAACTCCAGTTCCAGGGAATCTGACACCCTCACAGACAGACATGCAGGCAAAACACCAGTGCCATTTAAAAAAAAAGAAAAGGAAAGGGTGGGGGGAGGCCGTTCTGTACAGACACTGATGATTTTCTCATTTGTGGGGAGCGATCAGAAAACGCCTTTGTGGAGTCTGCTGTTGTCTCCTTCCCCTCTTATGTGGGTTACTGGATTGAACCCGGGCTGTTGGGCTTGTACGGCAAGTGCCTTTACCCTCTATACATCGATTCACATAGTTTAGGAGGCACCCACTGAGGACCCGTGGGCTCTGTGGGCTCAGTACCACTTCTCTGCTTGACTAGATTGGCCTGATCTTGGGGCACTGCGCTGATCTCCTCAGCAGGCCTTGGCTCTGGGGTAAGGGTTAGGGGCCCACTGCGTCTTTCACACTGGGCCTCTTCAGTCTCTCCTCTCAGGTTATGTGACTCCTGGGGTGACTGTGGCCAATTCCCAGGCTTCAAAAGCCACTCCCAAGCAAGACTCCAACCCCTTGGTTTCCTCTGCTCCGGCCACCAAAGATAACGTAGATGGCAAGCAGAAAGGAAAACCCCAGAACTCGGTGGCAGCAGACACCGCGTCCCCTAAAACGGGTGAGTAGGGGATATCGGGATATGGAGGGCCAGGCTGCTGGCCCCTGCTTGCCATCGGAAGCAGTCGTCTCACCAGTGTTAGCCTGGGTTCCATCAGAGTCTCTCCAGTGCAAGCCTACGGGTCCTCTGTGGGAACGGGAGGGGCCCACAAACACAGCCGGGGGCCAGGCCCGGGTTTCCAGCTCTGGGCACCCTGGGAGCGGGGGTACCTACCCCTCTGGAGCTAGTGAAGCTGTAGCAACTTCTTTGGGCTTGTGGAGGAGGCCTCGGCTCCCCAGCTGTCCCTACTGACTTTCTTATTTCCTTAGTTAGAGGGCCAGGGTATGGGGCAGAGGGACTCAGAATGACTCAGACTTGGCCGGCAGCCCTGTTTGGAGGACTCAGTATATAGAGGAGACCCTAGGTGATGGACTGGTCTCTGGGGCTGCTCTGACTCACTCTGCAGCCAAAGCTCCTGGGCCCCTGTGTCTTCACCATGCAAGGCAAGAGTAATGCCACCACATACTGTCAAAAGTATAACATACAGAAACTTGTCACATGACATTTGGTGGGACCCAGGGGAGGGGACTGTCAGGAGTGCCTTACATAACAGAACAGTACATCCCACCTCCCCACTCCATTCCAGTCAGCTTTTCCTTGAGGCAAACACTGCTGGGGTCCAACCCCTGAGCATTCAAAATGTAGGAATTCTGTGCTGCTGCTGCTGCTGCACAGAGCGGTAGAGCCTTTGCCCGGGCGACCTGGGAGGCGCGAAGTGGATGGAGATGGGAGCGAAAGCTCTGGGCTTGTAGCCCCAGCTTTCCTGCGCTGGGTCAGAGGCGGAGTTGTTGCTCACTTTCTTCTCCAGTGTTCTTGTCTGTGTGAGAGGCGGGTGCGACAGGGAGACATTTTCGAGGGGGCTGTGGAAGGTTTTTTTTTACACGTGTAGTCAGCACACAATTATCAAAGGCAAGCAGAGGCGTGGAAAATTCTAAACAAAGGCTGCACCAGAAGTCACTCTGGCAGGCAGTAAACCCTGCTTAGTCAGCCGCCACATGCATACACAGCAAGCCCACCCAGAGCTCCCCCGCCCCGATCTGCCTCTTGCCCCAGCCTTGATGGGCCAAGCACCCATTGTATGTCCAGAGACAGGAGCTGAGCCTCGGTCCGCAGGACCTTCTCTTGTGTTATGAACCTACAGCTCATGGCAGAAGACTGTAGCTTCTTGTTGTACAGTGGGAAACAGGCCTTGAGGGACTGTAACCTGGCCAAAGCCTCGCGGTGTGTTGATGAAGGCAGACCTGGAACCTGGGTCACTTGTGTCCCACCTGTTGTCCCCTCTGTCTCGCTGGCAGACTTCAGGCCCTCTCATTAACATTCTGAGATCACTGTCCATCCCCAACTATAATTGGGTAGAGTTTTTTAATGTGAGGACCTAAAACAGCTGGAAGTTCGAGGTGAGATTCCTGTTTAAGGCATGAGCATAGGAGACGGATGGGGCAGAGTGACCCCTGGGCCTCAGTTTCCCATCTGTACAGTTGTGAGGAGATGCACTCCCTCAGTCCTCATATATTGTGTAAGATCTGTCCCTCAGCTTTCCAGACCTGTGACCTCCGGGACCTGTGATTCACAGGTAGGAAAGAGGCCTCCCCGGGCGCCACACCTCAGAAGCCCAAGAAGGCCAAGAAAAGCACCCAGACCCCAGCAGCACCCACACAGGATCTGCAGAACAGCATCACCCAGCGCCTCCGGGAGCAGCCGTGGCCCCTGAGCGAGGCCCAGGTGCAGGCCTCCGTGATGAAGGTCTTAACGGAACTGCTGGAGCAGGAAAGGCAGAAGGCCACGGAGGCCATCAAGGAGAGTGGGAAGAAGGGCCAGAAGCGGAAGCTCTCGGGGGACCAGCTGGCGGCTGGGACCCCAAAGAGCAAGAAGAAGAAGCAGCTGGTGGCTGGGGCAGGTGCCATTACCCCAGAAAAGACCTCCAGGACTTCCAAGGCAAAGGCAAAGCCAGACAGAGCGGATGCCGATGGCAAGGGGAAGGAGTCACCTGGCACCCGAGGGGCCAAGGAGAAGCCGGAAAGTGAGCTGGGGTTAAAGGTTGAGAGTGGAGAGCAGGGTGACGCAAAGAGCAAGAAGGAGAAGAAGAAATCCGGTAAGAGTAAGTGACTCCTTTCCCGGGCGTGAGCTGGTGCGGGACGGTGGAAGCTGGGAAGTGGTTTGTCCAGAGTGACGGGTCTGGTGGCAAAGCCAAAAGTAGATTGCAGAGCTCATGGGCCAGTACCTCACCCCTCCTCCCCACAGCCCAGGGGCCTTACAGTGCCCAGCAGTGACACCCACGTTAGCCCCAACTCCAGCTCCACACGATGGAGAACTCCACTCCAACCGAAGGGACACCAGAGGTCCACTGCCGGTCCCTGGGGTGCGGAATGTGCCTGCATCCTCATCCAGAGCCCCCTTCCTTCCTCTAGAATTCAGTTCCTCCGGGAAAGCGGCCGTTTAATTGCCCTCCAGACCAGACCCTGCACCCAGTGGGCCTTTTGAGTTGTCCTGCCCACCCTGGGCAGTGGGGAGTCTTGCTTTCATTTTCTAAGTAGAAAACAGGCTCTGAGAAGGAAGGGACACTTGTGCTGGGCAGTCCCCTCTTGTTTTGTTTTGAAACAGGGTTTCACTGTGTAGCCTAGCCACCTTGAAACGTATTATGTAGACCAGGCTGGTCTCCGAACTCACAGAAATCCACCTGCCTCTGCCTCCTGGGCACTGAACCACCACACCCAGCAAGGAAATCCTCCTGAGTACTGCCTGCCCATCTGTGGCAGGAGTGGGGGAGAAGAGGTATCTGGTCATCTGATCCTCCTACATAAGGACCTGCAGCCTCTTGATGTCCAGAACCTATGGGGCTCCTGTCTTTGTTTTTGTTTTTTCGAGACAGGGTTTCTCTGTGTAGTATTGTTCTGGATCTCGCTCTGTAGCCCAGGCTGGCCTCGAACTCACAGAGATCCACCTGCCTCTGCCTCCCGAGTGCTGGGACTAAAGGCATGCGCCACCACCACCTCGCTGTCTTTTTTAAAATAAATATGGGGGGAGATGTTCTTAAAGTGAGTTCATTCAGGACTGGGCATGTAACTCAGTGGTAAAGAACTGGCATAGCTGGTATTGAGGCCCTAGACTGTGGTCCACAGACAGGAAGAAGGGAGCCCTGGCACCTGAAGGGTGGCCTGGCCCCGCCAGGGCCTGTTTCCCCATGATGTAGGAGCTGGAAGCTGTCATGGGCCTCCTGACCCTGACTCACTCAGCGTCAGTATCTGTGGCTCAGGAAGCTCGCTTTCTTCCCTCAGAAAAAAAAGACAAGGAAAAAAAGGAAAAGAAGAAAGGAAAAAAGACCTCAGTCAAAGACCCTGACTCGCTAGTCAAGAAGAAAAAGAAGAAAAAGGTAGATTGAGTTCCTGGGAGCTCTTGGGCCAGAAATTCAAACCCTTCCCCTTCCCCTTCCCCTTCCCCTTCCCACACCCAGACCCGTTCTATGCCACCCTTCCAACCTCATGGACCTTGTGAGGAAGAGCATGGGAGGGGTGATAGGAGAGACCCCCATGGGCAGGAAACTGGGTAAGCTTCGACCAGCTTCCAGGTGAGAAATGGTAGGAGGAAGAGCCTGGCCTGCATGTCCTGGCCAGTGGGGATGCCCGCTGAAGGAACAGCCATCCAGTTCATGCTGGTAGCACAGGATAGCCCAGCAGTGGAAGCTGCAGGGGCGTGGCTGCTGAGACGGTCCCACCCCTGCCTCCAGGGAGTCCTGCCCTGCGCAGGTGGACAGCAGTGGTGAGGGCCCGCAGACTGAGACCTTGTTGCCCTTCTCTCCTCACAGAAGAAGACAGCCGAAACTGCCATGTGAGGCCCAGCACGTAGAACAGGTACCCGACTCTCTGTAGCCTTCCTGGGCAGCTGGGTGGGCCCGAAGGGAGGGAGCCCGAGAGACGGTGACTCCCTTCCCCGGGGCCAGAGGGACGGAGGGGCATTGTTAGCAGGTGCGGAGCCCCAGCAGATCTGGTACCCTCCCTCGGCTCTCGGTTTTCCTCCGCGGACATAAAGTTCAGGAAATCTGACCTGGTTTGTTTTCTTCTCCTAGAGTCTTGTCAGAGTGCGGCCGTCCTCAGACCTCTGACCTTGGCCAGTGTGAGTTGGGACTGGACTTTTTAACTTACCCTCCCTCGACAGAAGATGATGGCCGGCTCCAGCGTGTGCTGCCGGCCAAGCTAGTGAGCCTGCGAGGCGGCGGCGGTCCCAGGAGGAAGTGAGACGAAACTCACCCACCTCCTCTGAGTGCTGCATAAGATGTGTACAGTATATATATATTTTTTTAAGTGACCTGCCTCTCCCCCTTGAAATCCAACGTGCCCAAAGGCCTCCGGACCGACCTCCCTCTGCTCTGCAGACCCAGCCAGGTTCTGCTTGCAGTTCATCCCATTTCCTGGATCCCTGGCTTACCCCAAGGCCTCGTCCTATCAATTTTCCAGCTCTTTTGGGTTTGGTTTGTTTTTTTTTTAAGAACTCAAAATAAAAGACTTGAAATGTACAGGTTTGAGTTCCCCCGTGCATCTGGGCTCCTCCTGCTCCTGACTGCTTAGGAAGGACAGTGTGGCGACCGTGGACGAGCACAGGCCAGCACTCGGGGCTCCTGCCTGCCTGCACGCCAGTGTCCTGCCGTACCGGGGGTTGGACGGTTTGCTAAAGACAGAGCCTCGGTGACTCTCCCCGGGGGCTGATGTGGGGAGGGCTCCCCGGAGGAGACGGCCTCCGAGCTTGAGGAGAGTTGAAGGTTGGTCAGATGCCAGAGTAGATGGCACAGGTGACGTCACAGAGGGGCCTTTGGGTGTTTAGGAGTTAGATGATGTGGTGGGAAACCTCGGGGGCTGTCGTGGGAAGAGCCAGTAAGGAGGCCGTGAGTCGCCCCCTCTCCAGGGAATAGTTCGGTGCTGGGGAAGGCTGGAAGTGAACAAAGCCAGCCCGCGTATGTGTTGGGGCATCACTGGGGTAGACTGAGGGAGAAGGGTGGCCACCCGCCTTCGCTGCCTCTGCGGAAACGTCCAGAAGCCACCTCAGCATAGCGCCCTGGGGGACGGCCATTCCCGTCATTCCATGTTGGTGCAGATCAGACTGCAGAGAAGGGTCTCCTCGGCTGTGCTGACGCACAGTAGTTAAACTGCGAAACGGACCCATGTCGCCAACGTTCGCTTCCGACTCCTGGGTGGTAAGGGATCTGCTCCCTTTTCCGGTGACAGTGGACTGGAGCTGAGTAGCTCTGGGTCCTGCAGACACCCAGCTGGTGGCAGCCCCCATTTGCATCCATTCCTGACACTAGGCCCCTGTGTCCACTGCCATCTGTCATCACACTCAACGCTGTTCTTAGTACCGAAATGGAATCGGGGACATGAGGGATGGAAGCTGGGACATGATGAATGAGCTGTGCTTTTGAAACTGCGCAAGAGCCTCTTTCTTTCTGAATGTAAAGCAGGTACTGAGTGTCTCCTGTGTGTCCATGGGCCCTGGGTACCTAGATGACCAGGTTAAGGTTTTCATTGACCTTCTTAGGGTAAACCGATTGGATCCCAACAGAAGAGCCAGGAGCAAGAACGTTCTACTTACTACCTTTTATTGTCACATGAACCATGATCCTATAGGCTGCTGACAAGCTTGGCTGAGCAAGGGACCTGGGGGTTTTGGCAGGAAGTGAGGAAGGTTTCCGGAAGGAGGGCCTGGGTTCTTCCTTGAGGAGGAGACAGCCGATGTGTCCAGTGTAGGTTCAGGGTGGAGCAGCCCTTATCCCTGTCTGTGGGCCTACATCTCAACGCCTCACGTTGTTGGAGACTGCTAATGGGTCGGAAATGGGGGTCCACCTAGCATTGCCCACTCTGAGCTTTCTATTCCTTTAGATAGGGGTGGGCAGCGGGGGCCCTCCAGCACCCTCATTCTCTTCTGGTTTCATTGGTCGTGTCCAGGGATGAGGAAGCGGACACCAGCCTCAAGCCCCAAGGTACGAGGAGGCAGGAATTGGGATGTGACGTCGGGGAAGGCAGAAAGAAAGGCTGGGGCACAGGAGGACAGGAAAGCCGCTGCTGTGCAGAGCTGGCCTCTGGCTTCACATAACTGGGAAGGGAAACAGAAGTGGGTATTGTTGCCTCGCCTGTTGTCTCTGCCTCTTCCCAGCCTCTTGGAACTTCAGGGCCTCCCCCTCCCACTGCCCATTCCTCCCCTACTGAGCTTGGGCGCTCTGCTTCCAGCAACCAGCCCATTCTGTAAAAGCCAGCCCAGTGTCATGCTGTACCACGTGAGTGTGAGTGTGGGTGACCCCCTTACCCAGATCCTGCTTGGTCACACCCAGGCCGGAAGACAGGTCCTCCATGTCCAGTGGCTCTGCAAAGGAATCACCATGCTATTCTTACCTCACCACACACACACACTTGATCACCATTGTGCCCAAAGGCATATTTCCCAGTATGACCTTGAGCCTGGGAAAGGAGGCACCACAGTGTCTAGTGTGGTTAGTGGGTGCGGTGAGATGGGGGCGGGGGACTCTGGTGTAGGACAGCGTGTGGAGAATGTGAGCGGAGATAAGGTTAGAGAGACACACAGGAGCGCGCAGGTGGATGAAGGGCCAGATGCATGGCTGACAGCGGCTGTCCTCCGGGCACAGCCAACCCATGTCCTGACCCCATGTTTACTAGGAGGGCCCTCAGGACCCTCACCTTCCTCGTGCTTCCTAATCCTTTATATGACTGGCACGGTGGCCCCTGCTTACCACTGCAGTTATGGCGCCCGCGGCTCTTGGTGTGAGGGACCTCGGTGCCGTTGGGGAACACACACCAGCAGTAGCCAGTGCTCCCGTGGCACTGGAGTGGCAGATAGTTACCGTTCTCGTCGCACTTGGGACGGAACGCACCCGGATGGACATCAGGGACGTGGCTGACCTCTTCCTGGCACTTGGTCAGCGCCGACGCTACAGGCGTGACGAAGACAGTGAGTGAGCGGGCTCTGGGCCGGGATCTCAGCAGAGCGGAGACCCACACGCCACTCTGCCGTGGGCCTAATGCCTGTCCAAGTCGCTTTCCTCATCCCTCCCATGGTACAGATGGGAAAACTGAGGCCCAAGGCTGAAACCAGTACGGTCCAAAAAAGAGGGAAAGCGTGGCTGGAGTCGTCGGCCTCAAAATATTTCTTCTAGCGCTCAGATTCTATTACAGTTAGTATTTACTCCTGTGAGTCTGGTTTCTGGAGGACAGTAATGGGAACGCCTTTGGGAGCCTGACCTTCTTGTTACTGGGATAACCCAAGTAGAAAGGGGGGGCTGCCATCTGTTGGGGGTGCTGGAGAGGGGATTCAAAAATTAGCTAGAAGTTGGTTGAGATCGCATGCAAGCTGCCGTCTATGTATGTATCCGAGAAACTGAGTTCCAAGGACAGAGTGGGTCATTAGCCCTCCGTTTGTGGGACAGAGAAACCCAGTGGGACAGGCACGTCAGGCTGTGCACAGCAAATCAGAGACAGCACCAAGGTACAAGCCAGGCACTCCCCAATGCGTTAGGTCTCAAGCCTCCTGTGTGCCGGCATGGCTGGTGAGTTAGAAGTGCCTAGGGCTCTGGGCATCCGCTGACTCAGTGGCCCTCTGCCTCGTGTGTTGCGGGAGTGAGTGCCGGGGAGGTGTCCTTCCGAGGACTCCTGCCTGGTGTGTGTTGAGTTGGTTTTGCTCTAAGACAAGGATAAGAGGCCTCTATACTCTGGATATGTGTGTGAAAGAACAGACCCACAGACAGGATGTCAGAGTTTCCAAACCCTGAGGGAACAGGCAAGAAGAGACGGAGAGCTGAGAGGATGGAGTGCCGCTGTTAGCTTCGCTGAAGCTGCTGGAGGCTTCAGCAGCTCCGGGGGGGGGGGGGGCCCTGGCACCCTGAAGCGCCCACCCTGGTACCTTTCGGCGGAGCTTCAGTGGGCTTCTCCTCCAGAGAGTTCTTGCTCATTTCAAACAAGAGCCACTGTTTCATCCAGCTCTCAAAGACCTAATGAGAGTAGAGGCAGGTCATCGGGGTCAGGGGTTAACACCCTACCCTGACAACAATCTTGGAGGGTCAGACAGGCCCAACATCTGGAGCCCAGCTGCCACCCCGGTGCCTCTTAAAGACCCACAATTTTTTTTTTTTTTTTTTTTTTTGTGGATGTTAGAAGGCCCTCTCTAGCCCAGAGAACAGCTCCCCCACCCCTTGCCGCTGTCTAGTCCTGAGGAGAGTCGACAGAAGCTTCTCACCTTCCAGTCCAGACCATCCATAGAGTTCTTAAGGTGTTTCAGGTTCTCTGGAAAGCTCCCCTTCAGCTGTGGGTACTCCACGGGTCCAGACCTCTGCAGAGTAGCAGGGCAAGAGGAAGTTAAAAAAAAAAAAACACTTCATGATAGCAAAGGGGAAATGTACACCCCATGTTCCCAGGTCTTCATTCTGAGGAATGGATGTTAGCCACAGCAAGCCTGGACCCTGGCTTCAGTGACAGAGAGCAGGGGTGAAGGGGTGAGGACCACCCAGCTAGGTAGCTCCTGCCAGGGTCCAGACCACCTTTACAGCACTAGGGTGCTCCCTACAGATGTCTGCCTGTCTTGCAGGTCTCATCTCTGAAGACTTCCTGACCACCACCAGCTAGACAGGGCCCCCTGCCTGTCCTCACAGCCAGCTGTGCGTCCCTCATCACCTGGTCACTGGTATATTCAAGTTGCTTCCCTGCTGTAGGCCAAGGACCCTACGTAGTGCCTGGTACAGAGCAGGCTTGTGAGATTTTAATTTTGGAAGGAGAATGGGGTATCATGACCAATTCACATCCAAGACTTGGACCTTCATTTTTCCAACTCCAAAGTGAAGAGGCTAGAGCCTGGTGTCGTGATGGACGCCTCTAGTCCCAGCACTCAGGAGGCAGAGGCAGGCAAATCTCTTAAGTGCAAGGTCAACTTGGTCTGCATAGCATAACCAGTTCCAGAACTACGTGGACACTTATCTCAAGGTGAGGGAAGGGGCCTGGACTACGTGCAACATTTAAGGGCCACCTTAATCCCTTGGGGTGAGCAGGTGTTGAGTTTACAGTGAGCCTGGCATGTGAGTGAGGGTTAGGGTCCCATGTGGACCGGGGGGCTGCCCACTGGCTCTGACACTCACCAGGAGGAGGTGCATCACGTGGTCCTGGGTCATGTTGCCGTACTTGGTAGCATTCCGCACAGGCTGTGGAAAGGGGAACAGAGTTACCAGTGCTACTTGAGAAGTAGGAGGGACCTGGGAGGGGGGTGAGGACAGCAGCTGGGGGGCCGCAGCTGGCATCTAGTAAGAGTCAGGTCCATGCATTCACCGGCTCAGCTCTGCTACCTCCTAACGTGGGTGCTCCAGCTACTCCCTTTCTGCCTCCATATCCTCACTGAGGTCAGGCTGGCATAAGCTCTTCTTCATGGCCTTGCCAATAGCAGTTTTTGCTTTATTTTTTTTTTTTAAAGATTGATTTATTTATTATGTATACAGTGTCCTGTCTGCACACACCCCTGCAGGCCAGA